TAAATAATCACTCGGTTCATCCCCCCTCGTAGATGAATTGTTTCCTGCAGACGACCTCCACAGGAAAAGGAAGCTATAGTCTCCTTTACTGTGAAAACCTGTTCGTTAAAAGGGGACCACGATATGGTAGCCGAATCATTGGCGTTGATCTATTAGGTGATTCAAACCATTTTTTGCTGTTTTTCAGTATGACTAACAACAACACAAATCCTCAGTATTCGAAACTTTACTGTCTTGCTACAGGTGGTTTACTATTAAGTGAGAGACGAACTGTATTTATTGAGTGCAACAGTAAAGCCGGCTCCAAAACGGCCTGTCATCCAGCAAGACGATGGTTCAAAGGGATAACCGATGCTATTCAAGCACTGTAGGATCAATAGACAATAGGTTACTCAGACCCGTAGAGCATCAGAGGAAGCGCAGGAGACTAAGTGGCGGTTGACGTATATCAGTTAGACAATGACGATAGTCCGAGTCTGAGCGAATAGTGAAAGGTATCACGAGACGTCGTTTATGGCCAACATTGCATGGCTCGACTGGACGACAGACCATTGCTCCCGAAAAAAGTGAAGAGCAGCATCAGACAAAGTTTGTTCGATGCATCTATATATATTATATAAGTTCAGGAGAATGTGGATGGCTCTACTACATCACTAAATCGTCTTTTGTGCTGTTTCAAATTAAAGTTCATCGTTAACTAAACGAAAACTAGGCAACGATCTACCTGTATCCATTTTTATCGATAGCTGCCGCGAAATGCCGCGGTTGGTCACCACACCTGTATAGGTTCCTGTCGTCTTCGGGAAGCAGATCAACGTCGTGAAAGACGAAGCATGAGAAACGGCGAAGGCGATCAGCAAAAACGAAACCGACGTTGGTCAGCAAGCCCTTGTTAAACGTTTGGTTGCGTACCTGAGAAAAGTGATGAAACACATGTTCCAGAATACCGGACGAAAACTGCTGCATACCTGTTCGACAACGAAGATGTGATATGAAACGTTTTGTCTTTCAAGAAAAGGTATGATGTGATCAAAAAAAGCGATAAGATGGCTTTCCCTGTCTCGGTAGGGAATAATGATCGCAATCGATTCGTTATTAGCACTAGTTTTGTTCCTTTCGACGGCAGCGGAAAACTTTTGCTTGAGGATATCGAAGATTTCGACAACTTCAGTCGAAGCTTCAGTAGCGTTAGTAACCATTACAGTACGATTTGTAAAATCTAAAGAACATAAGTATTACTTAACAGTGATTATTACATAGCGTGGATAGATAGCATTCAGGGACTGGGTATCATCGTCATTGATCCTAATGGCAAATGGTGAAAGTGATCATCGGCAAAAATAAAACTCAATGATATATGGATTAGACAAGTAGACGGCTGAGAAGATGCTGAATAAACGATATAAAGAAATTTAAAAAAAAAACATTTGTGAATAAAAATAGCGCATAGAGGGATATTTGCACTCTTCACAAGGGTCAACACATGCCTGTTGATATTCCTTAGCGCTGGACGAACATTCGCTGACAAAAGCAAGTTCTCTAAGGCGTCGTGCGATTTAATTTGACGGCTTTCCAGTTGCCAGTAGATGATTAACGTTTCAATGCCAATTTAATGTCAGTCCAATTTATTATGCCAGGCGTTGTGCGAGGGACGCATCGAAGTTGTTTTATGGGAGAATATCGTTTCAAAGAGATATAAATAACGCTGCAGGCTGTTGGTTTGTCATGAATAAGGAAATAGCAGTTACAGCAACAGCCAATTATCACTTGGTAGCAGTAATTATCAGCCAGCAATTATAAAAAATACCAGCAGCGACATCAGAATAAAGTCGCAGCGCATGGGATCACCTTACACCTTCGACTCAGGTACAAAATGTTATTGAACAGGAGCTCATGCAATGAGAACTACGAACTCAGCGGTATGGTAACACAGTGCCCAAGAGATCGGCTTCGACCTCCGGAGGGGTTGGTTCGATTTCGGCTACAGAGATCTTTATCTCTGCCACAAGTTCCATTGAGTAATGAATTTACCAAACGTTACCACAGACCGTAGTTGCTCAGTCGCTAACGTGTCGAACTCAGAACCGATAGATACCGGGTTCGAGCCACAGTATAAAACACTCGCCCTCCTTCCATCTAAGATTGAAAAATGAGTACCCCTCGGTAGGAAAGAAATAGGAAAACACACAGTATGTTTTTCAAATAGTTGGTACCGTCCCTACCTTTAAAATAATAATACTCCTGGCCGATGATACTGAAATGAACATAAGCGCCCGACCATTAACTTCATAAAAAGAATGGAACGAAACGGCTCCATCATGAAAGAATAAAGAAGA